GATTATAATGTGCCCCATAAGTAATGATGGCCAGAAGGTGATAACTCAGAGGTTTCATACAACACTTGTCCTTTTGTGATGGACTGAGTTCAACCATGCGATGAGGTGCCCTTTCTGTGGTGAGCTCATTTTGTTTATAGGTTTTCTTGTCACCTGACTCATTGCTGTTTTCTTAGTGTTTATTCAATTTTGTAATTCCCTGATTTTTTAAATGAGATTTATTCATTTTCTTTAAGGTTGCCCTTTTATTCCTTGATGAAGACGCTAAGTTCTGTAGCTACCTTCTCCCTCCACTTACGGTTGTCTTCATTCCAAATGGATCACTCTGGTTCTCTGTTTGCAGACCTGTAAAGTTCTTTCTCTGAATCCATCTCTGTCGGGGTGACTTCTGGGTGGGGATATCAGGTTTGTCAATCTCAGGTGGTGGCTCTCTCCCCAAAGAACTCCCACTGGTATTATTTATAAGATCGGTGTGGGTTTTACAAGTTCCTTGAATTCTTGTTTATCCAGCAATGACCTAATTTCACTGTACTTGCGGGACAATATTATTGGGTTTGTGATTCTTGGTTGGCCTTTTCTTTCTTTTTCTTCCAGAGTGTTGTATGTGTCCTCCCATTCCCTTCCTGCCTGCCAAGTCTCAGCTCAGCCATCAGCACTCGGCTTACCGGGTCCCGTTTACAGGTAACTTTGTGCTTTTCCTGAGTTGCGCTCAGGATTCTCTCCTGTCTTCCGTTTGCAATGTTTGATTCGGATACACCTAGGTGGTTTTCTTCAGTCTAGTGGTCTGTTACGGCAGAGTTTCCCACACCTCCAGGTCTGGCCAGGGTACCCAGGAGCCAGATCCACAAGGGAACCGCTCAGACCTTCGGAGGAGCAGGCAGGGGCTCCCCAGAGGGGAGCTGAGAGGCATGAGGGTGGGCCTAGCCTCCCCTGGTCACCAGGAGAGGGGGGGACAAGGGAGGAATCCTCCTTTCTCATCACCAGTGTGGAACAGCGTCGCCAGTGTGGAACAGCGCGTGCTGTCAGGCTGCTGAATACGGCGTGGAAACATTCAGGAGGGCCACACCACAGGCACAAGCCAGCAGTTCTCCGTGGACCTCCACCCGCACCATGGCTATGCCATTTCTCGCTTAGTTAGTATTCGATCTCTTCCTCTGAAGCTCAGGGCTCCAGGATTGGTATCCTCGTCTGTTTCATTTGGTCTTGACTGTCTTCGTTGTAGAGCAGGGCTAGGGAACCTTTATTCTGTCAAGGGCCATTTGAATATTTATAACAGCATTTGTGGGCAATGCAAATTATCATCTTCAAAATTAGTCTGCTATATTTGGTGAATCATTTAATTAACTCACCCCTAAGGCGATGGTTGGAATGGCTTCCCTTTGGGAAGCTGGTATTAATGGGGAGCCCTACTGGTGTAGTAGGTTTCACATTGGACTTAAAACCACCAGCTGCCCTTGCTTGGGAGAATGATGAAGCTTTCTACTCCTGTAACAGTCTCAGAGAGGCAGTTCTACCCTGTCCTATAGGGTCGCTATGAGTCGGAATCAATTTGATGAACGTGAGCTTGGTTTGTTTTTATTTTATTATTACTATTATTTTATTTTTAAAAATCATTTTATTGGGGGCTCTCACAGCCCTTATAACAATTGTATCATACACCCATACATTAATTGTATCAAGCATATTTGTACATATGTTGCCATCATCATTTTCTAAGCATTTGAGCCCTTGGTATCAGCTCCTCTTTTTACCCTCCCTCCCCTCTCCCACCCTCATAACCCCTTGATAAATTATAAATTATTATTGTTTTTACATCTTACACTGACCGCTGGCTCTCTTCCCCCGAGGTTTCTTCCCGCACAGCCCATGAGACAGACCTTCCCCACCCCTGCTGCAGTGTGACTGCTGAGTTGGCCATCTTTTGGCCCAGTCCCCAAGGCTGTCACCTCCACACAAGCAGACTGCCACTTCTGGTGACTTCATGCTGTCAACCTTTCAGTCCGCTGCCCAGCAATGAGTCCCCCAGCCCCAGGGTTCCTTCCTGGTGATCTCCATTGACCATAGTAACCGATGGTTGGCAAGTCATCCGTGACCAGTTTCATACGCTTCTGTATTAGGTCAGGAGATGTTTGGCTTGGCTGTGACATGCATGACCTTGCAATGGGTGCCTTGAATTCTGCATGAAAGCATTGTTAACAGATCCCATTACACACACACACACACACACACACACAAGCTTTGCTTCTTCTTTGCAATTACCGACATTTCCCAAGGATTGAATGCTTTTGTTGTGTTTTTTTCTGTAGTAGCTGATGGTTTGCAGGTAGATGTGTGCAGAAATGGCCTTGCCCCCGGGCTTCCTAGGTAAAAAGTTGCTTGGAGACGGAAACTCCACAATAA